ACCACACCAAGACTCCTTCAGTAGTCCAAATCAAAATTGTCTTGAGATCTAGACATTACTGCTCTTTTGATCCACTCAAGCAACAACTTCCCCAGGCTACAGTCCTACCTCTAGAATGTCTGTTTCTGGACAGGATTAAGGATTAGCCACCTCCAGGATCTTTTGGAGTCCCAGTGTGGCACTGTGGGTTAATGTAGGGAATGCAAAGTTGGCTTGAGCTGTAAGGTCGGTGGTTCAAGTTCACCAGCCACTCCTTGGAAATCCTATACAGGGTTGCTATGGGTCAGAACGACTCGATGGCACTTAACAACAACAGGACTTTTTGAAGACCTTGGCTACCTTCCTTTGATTAGACTGCTCCACCATCTGTATCTTAGTAACTTTAAACTTGAAACAAAAGGAATCTAAATCCCAAAAATACTTTGTGGTTCATATGTGAATTATATGCGTTACCATGAATTTACTGGATCTAGCTTTCTATCAATGTCATCTTAATTTACACCAAGTGATTGGGTGGGACCATGTAAATAAGATAAACAGAACTCTTAAAACTGGTATTGGTTCATTTTGCTGTCCGGCTAGATTTAAAAGGAGCCATCAGAAGCAGGAACAGAAGACTCCAGGACCATCAAGAAGGATGGGCGTGAGTGGAGTGTGAGATCCCTACCTAGAAGAAAGGTGACAGAGATGGTGGCTTAGAGAGGCAGAGCAACTGTAGGCTCTAGACCCTTGGACTGAGGCAGAGGCCAAGGGGCTACATGGCTAAGAAGCCAAAGACAAGAGTGAGATGTGCCTGCAGTATGACTAGAGAACCGCTGCTTCCTGATATCTTGTCATCCTGAATTGTACCCTGTTTGCTTCTCTGATAAGCCCTGTAATTGTGAATATTACTAGGAGTTCTGTGTGGCCATGGCAATGGATTTTTGAACCCAGATGTGAAGCAGAGAATGCTGTGGGAGAGATGGTTGGTGTCAGAATAGGGTAAAGAAGGCTGTAGGGTAGAAGCATGTCTGACTTCCACCTCATAGGAATTTGGCGGATTTTGAGTTTGATTCTCTTTCCTCCTGGGAAGCCAGGGGATGTTGACATGGCTCCCACATGGTTTTAGCAGCATGGATACAACTCTGCAGCATTCAGTCACCAATGAATGTGCTTGGGGAGAAGAGTACCCCTTGGCTTCATCAGCTTAATGGGCTTATTAATGTGAGGCTCTTTATTTGAGTGCACTCAGTTGATAAACGCATTTGAAATGACAAATGTGTTTCCATATTTAACTATTTAACACCTGCTTTCACTAATCTACAAGGAATTGCTAATGAAAGCCTTTTTCCCTCTTTTTATTGTGTTTTTACAAAGATGCTTATATATGAAAATTTTATTCATACAGGTCTATACTTGGATATATTTTCTATTGCATATGTTGAAATCCTCTTGGTTAAAACATTACTTGTATTACATGGTGCATGAATATTTTCTATTAGACCAGCATGAGGCTGGTTCCTATGAGGTGGAGGTTAAAGATATCCCAAATGTCTGACTTTTCCAACATATTAGACTCTCCATAATTCCTGGTATCAGTCACCACTCTTCTCTTTCCTCATGTCTCTGGGTTATGCAGTATACTGCCACATCTCACAAAACTCACAGCTGTCAAGGAAATGGCTTATGTGATTGTGGAGGTTGGCAAGTCCCAGATCTGTCGTTCAGAGGTCATTCTGGAGGATTCTCCTTACCCATGTAGTGTCAGGAGCTGAGGAACCCAAATCAGCAGGTCAGATGAGAGGCTGTTGATGCACAAGATACTGGGAGCTGATGAATCAAGTCAGGTGGTGGACCACAAGCCCAAGATCTGGAGGTCAGACATTATGAGCCAGATGCAAGATCCAGAGCAAAAGAGGAAACTTTGCCAAAGCATTCCTGTATATTGAACTCAGACAATGCCTCCAAGGAAAACTAAGGATGATAACTTGAATCACACCCTCTAGTAAAGTGGGGGCGTCCTTAATTCTCAGTTTCACCTTAATCCTTAGCTCCACCTTACTCCTCACTCCTTAATTCCACCTTCATCCTTTGCTACTGTTGTGTGCCTTCAAGTCAGTTCCAACTTATAGTGTAGGATTTCTGAGAGCAGCTTGTGGGTTTGAACTGCCAAACTTGTGATTACCAGTCCAGTGCTTATTCTACAATGTCACACCAGGCCTTAATCCTACATTTCCTTTTATTTTCCTCTATTTATAGCTTTCTTATTAATAACTTTGACCAAGTAAAGCCAGGTTTTTCTTGGTTAGAGTAGTTATTGTATTACAGAGGAAATGTCTATTGTAAATAACATAAGATTAAAAAATTAATATTAATAGACATTTTATTGTGTCTTTACTTTTGCTTCTAGTTTTGTTAGTCTGGATATAACCAGGATTGATAAAAACCACACAGTGTAAGTTTTATATAAAGAATTATATAACTGATAAAAGAGTAATTATATAAGAAAATTAACATAGCACCCAAAGGCTGAGGGAGAATATTCTTGAAAAGACAAACTTTGAAGGGATTCCTTCCCCCAAGAGAGTTTCCATTTTGTTGGAGAAGTTGCCCTTTCAGCCTAGGACCAAGCTGGTCTGCAGTTGTTGGGCCATCAGGAAGCATCTACTGGAGTGCAGGGGACGCGCAGGGCATCAGCAGCTGGTGGCAGGGGTGTGCATAGGAAATGGCAGCTGAGCTGCCTACATGGAAATTGGGGTACTAGTTAGGGAAAGAGGCCTTTGGATTGCTGGATCCTTTGTTGAAAAGGCAGATTATCTGCATGCCTGGGCTACAAGGTTCCTCAAAGTCCGTATGTCTGATGCCTTCATTCCCACAGCAGGTGACCCTTCATGCAGCAACCAGAAGCTGCAGTAGACTGCTTTCTTCTGCTTTGCCCCTTTAGTACTCTGCACTGAGAAAACTTAACGTTACTCTGAAGGAAAGGCTCTTATAGTTTATTTTTGTTTATATGTTGTTGTTGTTGTTAAGTGCTGTCAAGCTCTTGGCTAAATGGAAAAGAAAAGCAAAACAGACAGCAAAGAAAAGTAATTAGTTAAAAATTTAAGATTTTACATATCTGTATGTGCATAGTCCTAGTGTGGTACTATGGGTTAATACGCCAGACTGCAAAGCTGTTTGAACTACAAGGATTGGTGTTTCAAACTCACTAGCTGCTCCTCAGAAACTCTATACAGGTTTGCTGTGGGTCGGAACATACTTGACGGCACTTAACACCAACATATTATATACACACACACATATGTATATAGATACATGAAATCCTAAAATAGTTAAAATCTTAAATTTTTACTAATTACCTTTCTTGTTGTCTGTCTTGCTTTTCTTTTTCCTTTAGCCAATAACTTTTCAACCTCAGCACAGTGTCATTTTGTACCAGTAGTCTTTTGTTGTGGGAAACTACCCTGTGCCCTGTAGTATGTTTAGCAGCATTCCTGATTTTTGTTCACTAGATGCTAAACATACACACAAACTAAAATGTGTGACAATGAAAAATATCTCTAAACATTTCAAATTCCCTTGGGGAACAAAATCTTCGCTGGTTAATGATCACTACTTGAAGCCCTAGTTTTGTAGAACCAGCTCAAACCTCTCCTATAAAGGCTTTTCCTTAACATGATAAAGGGTGTTTATGAAAAAATCCAAAGGTAACATAACTTACTGGTGAAAGACTGCAAGCATCTCCTGGTGCCCGTTTTCACCACTTGTATTCCACTCTGTACCAACTAGAAGTTCTAGGCAGAGCAATTAGACAAGAAAAATAAATAGCATCTAAAAAGAAAAGAAGGAAGTGAAGCTATCGCTATTCTTAGGTGACATGATCCTTCCTATAGAAAATCCCAAAGAATTCACATTAAAGCTACTAGAGCTAATGAAAGAATTCAGCAAAGTTGTAGAGTATAAGATCAATACACAAAAATCATTGTTTTTATATATCTGCGTGGACATCCAAAGAGGAAATTAAGAAAACAGTCTCATTTACAATAGCATATAAAAAAACAAAATAGCTAGGGAGGAGTTTAAAAAGATAGATCTATAAAACATTGCTGAAAGAAATGAAAACAACAACAACAAAACTCATATAAGTGGGAAGATATCCATGTGACTTGGAAAACATATTTTTGTGATGGTATCACTACTACCCAAAGTGATCTATAGATTCAGTTCAATCCCTGTCAAATTCAAACATCCTTTTTTGCAGAAATGAATCAGATTTGCCGATCTTCAAATTTATATGAAATTGTCAGGGACTCCAAATAGCCAAAACATTATTTTAAAAGAAAAATAAAGTTGAAGGACTCACACTTCCCAAAATTGCAGTAGTCAAGATTGTGTGGTACTGGCACAAGGATAGCTGTATATAGACAGTGAGAGAGATTTGAGAGCTCAGAAGTAAAACTCATACATTCATTGCCAGTTATTGATTCATTCATTTTTACTTGAGTTGCAAATCCATGTAAGTAGGAAAAGAATAGTCTTTTTAACAAATAGTGCTAGAACAACTTGATTTTCATAGGAAAAGAATGAAATTGGATCCCCACCTTATGCCGTATTAGCACATTAATGTATTATATTTATTGTGTAAACATTGCACACCTTTTCAGGTTGTTTGCCAACTATGCCATCTCCCTATAAGTTATTTTCATAAGCATGGTGTGCTTATTTATTTATTTTTTATAGAAACATGTCAAACATAGAAGGCTATGTTCCTCAAAATAGTAATGCAAAAGGGATCAACCTAAATATGATCAACCTAAAAATGTCTGTCAGTATCTAGGACGAGGGAACAATATTGTAGAAACATCTAGCTTTATGTTTACTTATGGACCCGTAAATTAGAATAAGTATATATATGTGTCTGTTTATATATATAATGTCCTTTATAAAAACGTCTAGGTTTCATCTCTTTATGCAAACGTTTTATAATTTTACTCATTTTTATTAAATTATTATCGTTACAGATAGATTTGACCAGTTTTGGGCCATCAATAGGAAACTCATGGAATATCCTGCCGAAGAAAATGGATTTCGTTACATCCCTTTTAGAATATATCAGGTATGAAGTAAAGTTATCAAAATGTCTGTGAAAATTCTGTTATCTTACTTGTTGAAACATTGTAGTTCAAAACTGGTAAACTTGCATAGTTGCTGAACAGTGTGGTTAGAGCTTTCTAGATCTGCCTTTTGATGACTGTTTATATTTGTTTTAGATGGTAACTCCTCGGTGTCATACTACAAGGTAGACAGTAGGTGCTAGGTCTTCCTTACAGCACACCTTTCTAGATCTGAAAAACCTCCGTGTTTCTATAGAGTGCTTGACACATGTTGTTGTTGTTGTCAAGTGCTGTCGAGTCAGTTCTGACTCAGAGAGACCCTGTATAGGGTTTCCAAGAAGTGGATGCTGGATTTGAACCTCCACCCTTGTGGTTAGCAGTCCAGTGCTTATAACACCACACTAGGACAGCACTTGGCAATCTAGCACATTGCTGTTGTTAAGTGCCATCCAGTCATTTCTGACTCATAGCGACTCTGTCAGGGTTTCTGAGGAGCAGCTAGTGGGTTTGAACTGCTGAACTTTTGGTTAGCAGTCCAGTGCTTACCGTAACTGAAGCTCCATACCAAGATCTCATATAACATACGCTATTGTTGTGGAGTCCTGGTGTGGCGCTGTGGGCTAATGCATCAGACCGCAAAGTCGTTTGAACTTCAAGGTCAGTGGTTCAAGCTCACTAGCTGCTCCTTGAAAACCTATGCAGGGTCGCTATGGGTCGGAATCGAGTTGACGGCACTTAACAACAACAACAGCAACATTGTTATTAAGTGCCATTGAGTCAGTTCTAAGGCAAGTTTGAACAAGGACACCCCATATAGCATATAGTAAATGTTGGATGGTCTTATGTGAAACTGCTTACCTACTATAATGGAAAAGCATTCATGAACAGTAACTAAAAACAACTTCACAGGCATATACTGTCTTCTAGCTGAACTTGTCCTGGTAGCACTTGCATTCAGACTCATAGGTTTTATAACCTCCCTTTGTAGCCATTTCCAGTATTCTACTGCCTTTACTAATCGTTACTTGTATAATTTTTATATAGTATCAGTAAAATCAGAAGAATCCTGATGGAGTAAGCTCATCGAATTCGTTATCCACCATTTTGTCTTTTCCTTTTCTATTTTATTGTTAGTTACCATCGAATCAATTCCAACTCATGTGACTCCTTATCTGCAGATAAAAAACTGCTCTGTAGGGTTTTCTGGAGTCCTGGTATGGCACTGTTGGATAAAGCACTGGACCACAAAGTTGGCAGATCAAACCCAACAGCCACTCTTTGGAAACCCTATGCAGGGTCACTGTGAGTTAACTAACTCAACAGCATTTAAACAACAACAACAGCAGTAGCAGTAGAGTAGCAGTAGGCAGAACACCAGACCTGTGTCTGTGTGTGTGTGTTTGAACTGTCAACCTTTTAGCTAGTAGTTGAATGTTTAATTATCCATTAGTTTTTATAGGAAGAGTAAATTTTGTTTAATTCCACAAGTTCTGTTAAGTAGAGACATGAATCCTGGTAATCACATAATGTATTGATACTCTATCTTGTGTTGTGAAGACTCTGAGGCAATTTATAACTATATGAAGCTGTCTTCTCCTGCAAAGATTTACAGCCTCAGAAACCCTATATAGGGTCACTGTGATTTGGAACTGACTTTACAGTATTTAACAACAGCAGCAATCACATTTTTGTTGTATAATTAAAATTTAAAATTAAAGGCAGTGAAAATTCGTGAAACTGCATAAGCTATGAATGAGTGAGATCACTACATTAAAATTGACTTGAAAATTTGATCCCAAGCTTCTTAGTAGCCAAAGCCAAGGAAAAGTGTTATACAGTGTAATTTTTTTTATTCTGTGTAGATCATTAGGGAGCTCTGGTAGCATAGTGGTTACCAGTCGGCCTTCTAATCTCAACGTCAGCAGTTCTAAACTACCAGTGGTTCTATGGAAGAAAGATGGGGCTTTCTGCTCCTGTAAAGATTTACAGCTTCAGAAACCCTATACAGGGTCGCTATGAGTTGGAAACAATTCCATGGCACATCACCACCACCACCACCTTGTAGATCATTAGGGAAAGGTAAACTTTTGGGGAATTGAATAGAGACATTTATCATATGGCTTCATCTAGAAGGGGATGGTTATAAAGGATATTGCCAGAGGCATAAAACTCCTAAGTTTTATGCCTCTGGCAATATCCTTTATAACGTATCTATAAGAAAACATCCACCTTTAGATTTCTGACCCTCAAAGTGATTCCTTACGGCAATTATTCACTATTGTACCGCAAGAGTCTTATCATCATCTCCTTTCATTAGCCCCATCCCAACACATTGGAAACCATTCAGTGGAGATTCTACCTTAGTCCTCTGTGGCTGTGTCACTGCCTCTGGGCCCAGGAGACCCTGGGCCTTGCCATACTGCTGGTCAACCATAGGTCTCCACCCAGGTTCACAGGAGTTTGTTAAATGTGGTTGGACTTAGCTTCCAACTTCATTGCTGTTTTTCCCCCTCTTCCCCTTATCAGTGACCAGTGTGTTCACCAGCCAGACAACATGCCTGCTTGTGTATTCCCTTTGAATCATTTTCTTGGAAAGGAATTCGCTCTGAGGTGACCCTACCACTTGCCTTGATGGCTCCCAGGTGAACAGCTTGCTTGTTCTTGTAGTAAAACTTGCCTTGATGGCTCCCAGGTAGACAGCTTGCTTGTTCTTGTAGTAAACAATCAGACTGCCTTTATTGTTTCTGTTTTTCCTGCTAGTTATTTTAGCCACTACAGGCTGCTCTACTTATCCTGTTAAGTGGAAATTTCCAACCGCAGAGGATTCTGGATGGGGTTCAGGAATCCACCTATGGTCTTATGCAATGCAAAGGCTCCACAGAAAGCCTCTTAACTTGGCAACTTCTGGCCCCTTTAAGGTAATCCAATCAGTTATAGGCAGAAGACAGATTTACAAGCTTTCTATTGTAATGTTTCTGGCTGTTCCTTTCTCTCCCACTCAAGTATCTATTTTACAATGGTAGGCAAGGGAACCCAAGATTCAAAAGACAGCCAAGCATCTTAACATTATTTCCCTCTTTTACGCCTTCAAACCATGCCTCAATCCCTGTATCCCAGAGGCCTGTTGTTCCAAGGTTGTGCATACATCATCATTTACCTCTGTCCCACTTAGTCCATTCAAACCTGCCTAAATGTTCTCCCATCCGCCTTGTTCTTCCATTTCCCTCCCCCTTCTTGTTTATTGCCCCCTCCCCCAGGCACCCAAGCTATCGTGTGTCTATTCCCCCCCTAATCTGTGCTCCATCTTCCCCTTCCGCCCCTCACCTCATCCTATACATCCTGATAATTATCAAAGGTTTTTTTCCCCCCTCTTTTAGGGTAGGTTCTCTTTCTTAATCTTTTATGATAATAGTCCTATGCAGTATTTCTCCTTTTGTGACTGACTAATTTTACTCAACATAATGTCCTCAAAGTTCATCCATGTTATGTGGTGTCTTGCAGCTGCCTTGTTAATCTTCAAGGTAGCATAATATTCCATTGTGTATATGTACCACAATTTTTTTATCCATTCTTCCATTGATGGGCACTTAGGTTGTCTCCATCTTTTTGCTATTGTAAATAGTGCTGCTGTGAACATTGGTGTGCATATATCTACTCGTGTTATGGCTCGTATTTCTTGTGGGTAAATACCAAGTAGAGGAATTGCTAGATCATAAGGTATCTCTATTTCCAGTATTCCGAGGAAGTGCCATATTGCTTTCCAGAGCGGTTGGACAATTTTGCAATCCCACCAACAATGTAGGAGCGTCCCAGTCTCTCTGCATTCTCGCCAACATCTATTGTCCTCTACTTTTTTGATCTTTGCTGTTATTGCTGGTGTAAGGTGATGTCTCATTGTTGTTTTGATTTGCATCTCTCTAATGGCTAGTGATCATGAACATTTCTTCATATGTTTGTTGGCTGCCTGGATCTCCTCCTTGGTGAAGTGTCTTATTCATGTCCTGTGTCCATTTTTTAATTGGGTTATATGTCTTTTTCTTGTAGAGATGTTGTAGTTTCTTGTATATTAATAGAAATGGGTCCCTGGTCTGATATGTTGTTGCAAAAGATTTTTTCCAAGTCTGTGGGTTCCCTTTTTACTCTTCTGGTGAAGTCTTTTGATGCACCTAAGTTTTTAATTTTTAGTATGTCCCACTCATCTATTTTGTCTACTTTGTTTGTGTAGTTTTCAAAATGTTTGTTAGTCTGTGTATGGCCTGAATTAGAACCCTCACATTTGTCCCTATTGTTTCATTGATGACCCTCATAATTTTGGGATTCATATTTAGGTCTTTAATTTTGTATAGGGCGTGAGGTAAAGCTCTTGTTTTAATCTTTTGCATATCGCTTTCCAATTCTGCCAGTACCATCTGTTAAAGAGACTATCTCTTCCCCTTGCAATATACCTAGGCACTTTGTCAAAAATCAGTTGGCTGTATATGGATGGGTTAATTTCTGAATTCTTGATTCTGTTCCATTGATCAGAGTATCTTGCATTGTACCAGGCTGTTTTGACCACTGTGGCCATGCAGTAAATTTTGAAGTCGGGGAGTGAGAGGCTTCCAACCTTGTTCTTCTCAAGCAGTGCTTTGCTTATCCTGGAT